GCCATCGCTACTAGGGTGGAGGCCATCGCTACTAGGGTGGAGGCCATGGCTACTAGGTTGGAGGCCATTGCTACTAGGGTGGAGGCCATCGCTACTAGGTTGGAGGCCATCGCTACTAGGTTGGAGGCCATCGCTATACTAGGTTGGAGGCCATTGCTACTAGGTTGGAGACCATCGCTACTAGGTTGGAGGCCATCGCTATACTGATAGTAGGTTGGAGGCCATCGCTACTAGAGTGGAGGCCATCGCTACTAGGGTGGAGGGCATTGCTATTGGGGTGGAGGCCATCGCTACTAGGGGCTACTCGCTACTAGGGGCTACTCGCTACCAGCTTTGAGGCCATCGCTACTAGGGAGGAGGCTATCACTACTAGGTTGGAGGCCATCGCTAGTAGGGTAGAGGCCATCGCCATCGCTACTAGGGTGGAGGCTATCGCTACTAGGTTGGAGGCCATCGCTACGAGGGTGGAGGCCATCGGTACTAGGGTGGAAGCCATCGCTACTAGGTTGGAGGCCATCGCTACTAGGTTGGAGGCCATCGCTACTAGGTTGGAGGCCATTGCTACTAGGTTGGAGGCCATCGCTACTAGGGTGGAGGCCATCGCTACTAGGTTGGAGGCCATCGCCATACTGTTAGTAGGTTGGAGGCCATCGCTACTAGAGTGGAGGCCATCGCTACTAGGGTGGAAGGCATTGCTATTGGGGTGGAGGCCATCGCTACTAGGGAGGAGGCTATCACTACTAGGTTGGAGGCCATCGCTAGTAGGGTAGAGGCCATCGCCATCGCTACTAGGGTGGAGGCTATCGCTACTAGGGTGGAGGCCGTCGCTACTAGGTTGGAGGCCATCGCTACTAGGTTGGAGGCCATCGCTACTAGGGTGGAGGCCATCGCTAGTAGATTCGAGGATCTTATCGAATCATATCGAATCGGTGTCTCAGGTCCTGTCAGCTCTCGAGAATCTGGAAGCTCTTGGAAGACCTTTCACGGGAAAAGCGCTTCGAGGCAGTGCTGTTGCCGGCTGTTTTCAGAGTAGTGTTCCAAGTCCATCTCCCAAGTGGCCTATTTTTGCACCGTCCACGGCAGACATGAGGTCATTCGTTCTTGCTTCTCACAGCAGCAGCGGATATTGCTGGAGAAGTGGATGATGGACAAAGCCTCGCAGTCTAGAGCTAAGTTGAGGTGTCAACGAGGCATACTTTCTTCAACGAGGTGTCAACGAGGCAACATAGTTGGGGACACCTTCAGCAAGAAACGATGTCCTTCAATTCATAGGAGCTTATGATGGTTTGAGCGTTGTTGCGTCATTCGTGCCCTAAAGACTCAGGACCGCATCTGCGAATGAACCGGAGAACAGCAACATACAACCTCAGTCTGAAGAAACTGAGTTTGGAGATGAGAAGCTGATTCCCCCGGGCACCGACTCAAGGGAGATCAAGACCGGAAGATGTGAAAACCTAGGGGACCCGCTCAGACTGGCTGGAGTTGCTCAAGCATTGGAAGGGCCATGTGAAGCCTCATTTAGCAGCTTGGCATATCGTGTGCCACTTTCGAGTGCTTTGGCACTTTGGTGTGTTCGGAGGGATGTTGATGGGCTGATGGATCTGATGGCATTGCTTGTGCCTGAGGCCATGCCGAATCAAAGGAAGCACCCCGATTGGCAATTCAGGACATCCCAGCCACACGGAGGAAGAGAGGTGGCCAAAACATTCGCTGCGTTCACTCATTTACAGCCAAGATGCTTGGAGACACCTCAAGCACGTGGGCATACAGAAGAAACATGTAGACACTAGCAAACATGTTGTAAAAAAAAGCCAATGAGAATCCATGATGATCAAAGCATTTGTCGGAAGATGGGCAGCCATAGTTCGACTCAGAATCCCGCCCTTAGTCTGAGGAATGGTAGCACCTACTACTATGCGACATCCAGCTTTCTATGTGTGCGTATGCAGACAACAACATGTTGTGATTTGCCCACGGCCCTGGAATTCGTGGTTGTACTGGCCGCTGTTAAGGACCTCAGTTTACTTGTAGTTCTGTGTCACAAATCCAAAGATTTTCTTCGTTCTTCCAGCACAAGCTGTAAACCAGGAGCGGGTGTTGCGAAGACCAGACTGCAACTTACTGGATCGAATTCAAGTAGCGTTGGAGGAATCTCTTCGTGAACATGGTAAGACCCAGGAGCAGAACCTTGGCATCACTGCTTTATACTTGGCGAGAATAAAGTTCAGAAGTTTCATGTTTAAGTGCAAACTCCCCCCGTAGGCTTTCTTTGTGCAGTAATTTGTGCAGCACAGAGGGAACTGAATGAGAGGCTTGAGCATGCTTGAGCGCTTCGATGCCCTTCAGAAACTTGTGTTTGCATTGTATATGGGCTGCATTATTAGAGAGCTAAGGATGGGCTTGCGTTTTTTCATTGTATTATGGAACACTTTTTGGTTTGGCCGAAGACAAGTGGTCTCTCCCTGCTTTCGAAAAATCAGTGACTTTGAAGAGTTGAGTATGTCTCAGACGCTTGCTGCTCCAGAATCAAGAAACTAACATAGAGTTCTCATTCCTTCACTCCTCCAGAAAGGTTAGGTTTGCTTCGTCGCGAAAGGTCCAGACCCCTGAAGCTCCATCAAGTCGAGTAAATCCATAGGCGGATGCGGCAGACGCCAGCATCTCGGATGTGTTTTTTTTGTTCCAAGGCGATTTGGTTGAAGCGCACAATCGCTTGAGCGAACTCAGTCTTGTGAACCGCAAGGGTGGAAGGAACCGGATCTTTGCCTTGTGTGAAGAGCAATGGGACAAGTCAGGCGTGCTGCTGTGGAAACAGTTCACGGATGTTTTTAGAAGCATTTGTGCAACAAGCAAGACTCCTCGGGCCCACAAAACAATGGCGAAGCTTTTGCGCATCCACTCTGCCAACTCCGAATATCGTGCCAAATGCTTTTCTGTCTCCAGGCCAGCTTTACCTGTTTTTTTTTGCAGCACACGTACTGATGCAATTTGATCAAACAGTTGGTGCATCATGTTGCAATTGTAGTTGGGCCCCCTGATGGGACGGGAGCTGCCATCAAATTGAAAGCGTTGAAGACATTGTGGCCTTTTGAGTTCAACGCCGTTGGATGCCTCCCAGCTGAGGTTTGGGAAAATTGGCGCATGTCACTTGAGGATGGACATGACCAGAGGCAGCTAAACGGAGCCCACCGGCGAGAGCGCATGGGAATGCGGAGAGAGTTGAAGGCCATGAGAAATGAAGACTGTCTCCGGAGATCAAAGCGGCAATTGAACCGTCAGGAGACTTGCCACCCAGAACGTGTTTGGTGTTCTTGTTTCGTGTGGGTGAATCCACAAAACATCACAAAACCATTCCCATGCCTCTACCTTACCTTCGCATGTTAGCACAAGTTGAGAACAGTGTCATCGAAATCCTTTGTCCAGGAACGTGAGCAGCGCTGCCTCACTCGGTTGCATCAACTCGTCCGGCAGTGGCAAAGGCTGTTGGACGCTGCCGCACGCCGCGAAGATGCTCGAGAGCGGCGCAGTGCGTTGCGGCAGAATCGTGGGAGGCGACCAAAGGACTGCAGCAGAAAGAGCGGCTGTAGGAACGACAGAGTGACGGTTCAAAACAGTCTTGTGGCTGACCAAAGCAGGAGCAATCTTGAGGAAGCATGAAGTAGCGAGATGTAACACAATGTCACGCGGGTGCCCTTCTTTATTGATTAGTATTGTGTGCGTGTTAAAACCTAGACAAACGGCTTTGTTGAACTTGTATTACTGTATGAACTTGTAACTTGTAAGTTTTTGTCAGGAGACACCTCCACGACACGTGGAAAAAGGGAGATCGTTTGCGCTGGCATCCATTCATGGATTTCATTCTTTACAGCCTGAACTTGTGCAGAGCGCATCAAGTACTTGATGTGCACTGATCTGACAAACCCTTGCGTCCTTTTTCGTAACTTTAACTTCTTTGACTGCAGACCACGGCAGTGGGTGCCCCGAAGCCTTCAGCCATGCAGCCGCAGCCAGAAGCAGGGGAGCCCAAAACTTGTAGCGGCTGTTGGGACATTGATGACTTCAGGGAACAGTTGAGAATTTAGTCAACCAATGGATTTTGTCAGCTGACAGGCTGCAGCGCCTGCCACGGTCTCAGCCAAAGCTTAGTTTGTCAGCGAAATGTGAGACCAATCAGTACAACTGATAAACCGCCATTTTAAGCTTCTTGTGATGTTCAACGGACTGTCCAGGACGATCGAACAATAGTCCTGCCAACTGCATGTTTCCAGATTCTCCAGCTCTAATTTGGGCTTGAGGCATTGGGCGGTGGCGGTTTGCGTGGTGCTTTGATGGATGGTGCGCATGAGTTGCACGAGCGTTCTTTTTTCTTCTATTAGACATTTGTCTTCTTTTGAATTTTATAGACAAATGTGTCCTTCTTTGTGTGATTTTCATTGTTCTTTCCTTTCTTTAGATTTTAGAACCTTTTGTTATTTTTCTTTTATTCATCCGAGTCTTGCTGTGTTTTTAGTCTCTTTGGCTCTTCGGACGTTGCCAGGTCTTGCATGGGGCGTTGGAACTTCCGTGGCATCGCGCATGATGGACATCCTTTTTCCAGCGTTAGATTCTAGCAGTGCCCTCAACCAAAGAAAGCTCAAGAGTTGACTTGAGCCAAAGACACCCTCACTCACTTTTTTGCTGTTTTGCATGTAGTTTGTATCAAAGAGTCTCGAACGCACCGATTACATTGGACTCCTGTACCTGTACAAGTCCATAGCTGCAGGACGGTATTCTGGGCCCTAGACAGATGGAGGTTGTGCACAGGTTTGCCCGGACATGTGCCAAGCAGACAGTTTTGGAATTGACAGGTGTTGTTCAGAGCATGGCAGACATCAGCATGCGTGCTCTCCCCACCGAGTGCTTGGATTTTGGACTGCGTCCTGTAGAATGATTCATGATGCAGCTGATCATGTTATATATCGGCATGACACTATGCGGCTGTGTAAGATTTTGAATCTTTTGTCGCGATGGCTTCAAACTGAAACCATTCCAGAGCCAGGAACGAAGATGGCGGCGCAAGTAGTGGGGATGTCCAAGCCTTGGTGGTGGGGTCAGGCTTTGCTGGGATTAGGGTGTACTTGGTGCAAGACTCCAAGACATCCAAGATTCCAAGCAACACATTGATTTCTTGTAGGTGGATTGCACAAGCCAGGTGCACTCAGTTGATTAGGATGTAGTTGTGCAATTATTGATTTTGCCGGTACTTGGCACTTCAACGAAGATCATGCAGATGCAGATTTATCAATTCCATTTGTTTTCGTGGCTTAGGCATCGCCTCCACCACCCGGCTCTGCGCCTGAGAGTGGCGCCTGGGTTGAACTAGATCAGATCGCGTCAACCGAGACAAACTTTTAATAAGAAATATACTGCATAGTTTAAATCAGCAGCAGCCAAACCTTCCCACGTAGCCGTTTGAAGAGAGGTTCATGTAAGATGCCTCCGCCAAAGGTAAGCCAGTCGTGAAAGATTCGCGAGCTGTTTGCGCGCGAAAACTTGGGAAACCTTGCAAGAGCTTGTGAAGTGAGCTCGGTCTATGAAAGTTTGCACGTGTTTTTGCACAGAATGCAGCGCGCCAAAGCCAAACAAAACGCAAGCTGCCAAGGTGTTGCAAAAGGAACTTGCCAAAAAAGAACCCATTATATCCAATTCTCAGTAGACTTTCAACAATGCTCAAATCTCATGAATGGTTACCGGGCTTTTTCAAGCAACAGCATCCACTACAACATGTTCAGCATCGTTGGACAGGCTTTGGCGGAGATAGCTGGCTTCCACGGCCTGTGTTTGATTTCTCTTGTTGAAGGCCTTGTGAACGTTATGATGCTGCCAGGTATGGAGATAGCAACACAGGCCGATCCTATCGTTTGCTTTCCGCCAAAGCATTGGGTGCCTTAAAACCGAAGGAGTGGTGTGTGTGTGTGTGTGTGTGTGTGTGTCAACCTGTGTCAAGTGTACAGGTTAGAGCTGTTATAGGGCTTCTCATTGTCCTGAAAAGGCATATCGTGAACATGCCCAATGGTTCGCTCTCCACATTTGGACTACTGAAACCTGCTTAAACAAAACCCTGCTGTTGAGGTTCTGATGATGCTGGTGGCGGAGGATGGCCTCACCGGCACAGTTTCTTTCGTTCAACGATTCAGCTTCATTGCGCTGTAGGTGTTGCTTCAATCACGTAGATCTTTTGCACGCACGCTGGCACCTTGCCAGGTTTGGTGGAGGTGCTGGTCAGTGAGAACAGACAAATTGCCTACGTAAGTGCCAGATTTGTGCTACAAAACTTAGCCTTTGCATTCTGGAGGCATAGATGTAAAATTACAGCATATAGAGTGCTCAAGCAGTTCCAGCGGTTGCCAAATTTAGCCAATCATAAGGGGATTTGGTTTCAGTGGCTGCCGCTAATGATCGCTAAGAGAACGATCTTCCTTTACGTTTTACTTCTCCCTTTGGAAGGGGATGATGGAGGTGATGGAGGTGGGGGATGGTGCGGAGGCCAAGTTTTACAAGCAAGAGTTCTGCTCGCGACAGAAGCTTTGTGTTGTTTCCGCACTACAGCTAGCCGGACGTCAAATATTGATACAAATTTGTTGAGTCACAAGCCATGACCGAGTCGCTGATCAAGGTTTGGCGGAGGTGACGACGAATGGTGAGACCGTGGTCTTGATAATCTAAAATGGTTCCGAAGCTCACATTCTCTTTGGCCCATCCCCTAAGATCCACTAAGCTACAATAGAAGCCAACTTCTTTCTCTTTGTGGGGCCGATGAGCTAGTTCAGCATGACGATTTTGTCGCAAGCTAAACTGTGAATTTGGAATCCAAGAGGACAGCTTGAGCCACCTGATTTTGTGTCTTGAGCATTCAGGGAGGCAGCACAAGGCTAAAGAACAGGAGTAATGTGATTTCAATCTTCATGGTGCTTCAATTGCTCAATTCACATGGCCCTTTGCTGGGCTCGCTTTGTAGAAGGTTCATGGATCTTTTCGATTCACTGTCTTTTGGAGACCTTCTGCAAGGTCCCAATGCGACACGAACAGTAGCATATCTCCGTAGGGTCTTAGAAAGAGTTAGTACAGAGCACCGTGTGCATTGCGTTTCACGCGAAAAGGCCTCAGCCAAGACTTCAAGGTGTTGGCTTGGGCTGTTTTTTTCAACAATATACAATACATCTCTTGGTCAAATTATCAACACAACCACAATGACAAGATACCACAAGGATTGTTTTTTGCTCACTGCGCTGTTTTGCTTGCCTTGAAAAAGGCTTTTTGGTAGAAGGCTGTGCTGCTGGCCGTCGTTTTGGCTCTGCTTGGTAACTTAGCACCTGCGTGTATATGCAAGACATTTATTGAAACAGTTTGGCAAAAGGCAGGCGGTAGCTCGAAAGTTTCACGTATTTGTAGATTTATGCTTTGTTTGTTCTGTGGGCTATTCGTTGTTGAATACTCACCGGCCAATTGCAATGGCACGTGAGTGCAAGTCCACAATTGGTATCCTGGCTGAAGATGCTGCAGCTCCACTGCTTTGAAAGGGGTTTGGTGATGTTGTGATGCTGGCATATGCTGGCATCAATGATTACTTGAGGTAGCTGTTTGCACCTGTATCATTGTGGTCAGCTAACACATACTCCGGGTTGGCGAATGCAAGATGTCCAACTCAATACATTCTCGTTCACAGGCACCAACTTTTGGCTTTGGGAGCGAGGGCGAGGTTTGAGTTTCCCTTTTGGATGTTTCTCCCCAAACAGTTTACTGTTGGGGTTCTAGAAAAAAGAAGACCTGGCCGCACTGACTGGCCATAATGGGGTCTATGCTGGCATAATTTCAGGTCTTGTTTCAAGTTGTGACTTGGCCAATGCTAAAGCGATGAGACATGAGACCGAGACCTCTTTAAGGTGCCGTTGGTCTCGGCTTCGTCGGCTTCGCCCTGCTCAGCGCCATCGCGGGGAGTCTCAACTTTATCGGTTCGCTCGGCCGATCTCATGGAGTCCGCGGAGCTCGTAGCCCTGTGGCGATGAAGGCGAGTGGGGAGTTGGATGGAGTTGGTGTCGTCTTGGGACTTGGTGGTCGTTCTTCCATGTGTTTTTGCCTCAAAAGGAATTTGTGCCTGGTGTCCTTTTCCAAATGTTGTGAAACTGAAATTCTAGGCAATCTGTCACGCCACTACGATTGGCGTCCGATCGCTCCGTTCGTAGCGGTTGATGTTGAGAGCGTTTCGAAGGGTTGATTACCTCCACGATCCAGGTGTACTGATACAACGTTTCAATGAAGTGTTTGAGGCTTCACTTCATGGTCCGTCTTCAGCATACAGTACTATTTTGATCTATTTTGTAGTATCCAGGGCCAAGGTGAAAGAATCTCAAAGCGTTGCAGAATTCACAAGTTAAGAGCTGTCCTGCGCTTGCAGTCCCTACGACCTCCAGAGATCACGCTGCCTTTCATGGATGAGCCCATTGAGGGCTCCGTGTTCGCATTGCACCCTGCCAACTGTTGTCGTATTTGAGTGCAGTTCACTTTCATGCACTTTGCCTCTGCTGCTTCAGTGATCTAGTACTCAGATTACTTAGTAGTACTTTTGTTTCTGGCTAGCTCGTTCCAGTAGCTCAGTATGGCTAAGGCTAAGAAACAACAATGCTGCAATGCTGGATATAATAGACAATAGCCAAGATCAGCCAAGCTCCAAGCCACATCAGTCCACAGGTACGTCATCGGCGCGGCGTTTGTTGTAGCCCTTTTTCTCGCCTATCAGTTGTGGAGACTTTTCTTCAGCGAAAGCCTCAGTAGAGCAATCCTCCAGGACGCATTGATTTATCATGCTTGGGGATGATCCCAACTTCCTCTTACATTCGTCCAATTTGTTTGTCTTGCCTTTCTTCAGCATCACCTTCGTCGTGTGAGCGACTGTTTGATCGTGGGAGCAGGCTGTGTGACGTCCTAAGGCAAAGAGCTTGGTACTTATGCTGAGATCAAGTGGGGAGGAGCTCGACCTCCCAAGGAATATGTGGAGGAGATGAAGAGGTGAGACTCTGCAGGGTTCTCCTGAACAATGAATATACTTGGCTGCTTTTCATGTATTGTTTGATTTTTTTGGTTCATTCAATCAATTCCTTTCATTTGGATTGGTAGACAGAAAGGATATGAAGTGGATTGTCTTGCAGGTTAGAAGCTCGCAGGAAGAAGAAATTCCTGCGCTCCATCACGGACGGCACCTAGGTCCAGGGTGAGGTGCCAAGAACATGTTTATGTTTTAGCTCGGGATAGACTGAACATGAACATGCTTAAAGACAAACGATGTACAAAAGGAAACGGTGTCTCTCGGTGATCAAACTGTGCGTTTGACATGCTGGATTCAGGTCTATGCTGATGCTCTGATCAGCTTTGGCCAGTCTGTAGCTGGCAAGCTGCCAAACAGACTAAGCGAGCACATCCAAAACTGGGCCTTCAAGAGTTTGATGTTTGAAGTGTCCCAAATGGATTGCTAATTTTGTTGCTTGATGTCAATCACAGAGGGAGAGTACAGGGTACCTTCGGCATAAGTTCACTGCCAATAATGCTCCATTCTTATACGGCACATGGTATTTTGCGGTGAGAAACGGGGCATAGCTCGCACGGAAAGACATGAAAGGCGAGGGAGGTGAAGCTCAGGTATTGTTTTCTTTTGACAGACAAATCCCGTCAGCAAAGGAATTGATTTAATTACCACTTTTCGGCTCAAGTTCTTCACTTCCCCCTTTTTTTCCACAATCCGAACCAATGATATTCATAAGTTATAAGCCTTTCCACAAGCTTTCCAGGCAAAGTATGGGATGTTTGACAAGTCAACCTTCAAGGCTGGCACGCTTCGTTTGATTGGCTTGCAGGGGGGCTCTCGCACTGCCTGGACGCTTGGAGATGCTCTTGGCAGATGCAGTGCTTGGTGAGCGGCAGATCAGCCAAGGTAGTGTCCCAGGGAATGGGTTTCACAAGTGCATCCTGCTTCTTTGACCTTTTCCGCTTCACGGCGTAGTGCTGCTTCTTTGATTTCTTCATCTTCACGGCCCTTTGTGTTGAATTGGTGTGTTCTGGCTCAGAAAGTAGAATGGGCCAACATGGGCCATTGCCAATGCCCCATGACAACAGGCAACGGCAATGGTATCTATTGCACGCCAGAAGAGTCCGTTGTGGGGGCGGGTGATCCCATTGGAAAGCCGTTGAAATTTGATGCGTGAAACAGTGCCCACTGTTTCAGTTGCGTGAAAAGGCAGCCTAGGTTGCCCTCAGTTACTCTCAATTGTACAAATGTGCTTATTGAGATCGGTCCGGTTTGTCTTCAGCCTTGATGATGCTTCCTGCTCGCTTTGGAGCGGATCCACTTGCCTGATGGTGGCAAGTGCAACTTGGCAAAAGCGAGCACAACCTTTGGCACCTTACTTTAAGGCACCTTAAGGTCTCGCAGTTGGACTCCTTTTCAGTCCCTTTGGCCAACTGAGCGGGCACCTTTCAATGATTTTCAATGCAAGAATATATATATATATGCATATCTTCAAAGGTTGGCATAGGCATCTTGCTAGGGCCTCTAGGGCACACACCGATTCTCAAAGAATGTTCATGATTTTTTGTGTATAATATTAATACTGCATTATACTGCCATTTTGAGCAGGTTTCTCATGATTGTCACCGATCTACGGAGAAAGGGGGCGTGCCTGGTAGTACTGGAGTGCTCCATCAGGGTCTCGTCAGCACAGGTTAAAACTCCTGTCAACTAGTCAGCCTAGCAAGAATCTGCCTAACCGTTCTTCCCGACCTGGTGCCCGTGGTAAATGGTGATAATAGCTATGGCATGCTATGGCTATGGGCTTTACGGAAGCCAACGGTCTGCAAATGTTTTGTCGTGTTGGTTACAGAGTTACAGACAGCAGGAGGCCAAATGCAGTCCATCCGAGATGAATCGTGCAACGCACATAAGGTTGCTTCAATAGGACTCTGGAATTCAACTCAACGGAACCGTTACCAAGCTCGCTCCAAAGGTGTAAAGCCGTAGACTCAACACGTTGTACTGTAGGTGAATTGCTTTTCGTTGCTGCTGTGTTGGCCCAGACTTGTCCTTGTACTTCTCAGGTGGATGTGAGAGCCTTTGTTGCGGGCACCCCACTATAATACGGCAAGATTTGGCACCATGTGCCCCAAATGTCACGTCAGTCTTATGCTTTCGACATCTTTGCAAAGACGCTACTCAAGTGAGGCAGACTTTGTGCCACAACTCCTGAGAGAGAGATGGGGGTTTACATTTAGAATGGCCTTTTCTGCTCGCACTGGCTTTTCTGCCGCGTGGATGTGCGTCACGAACCTCGCCGGAACGAGTTCTGGGCACGGGACCCAGGCCGCACAGGGCCAGTGCTTCACTATGTGATGGCTTTCGTGTCGGGTGCCAAGCACCGCTGCAACGAGATACATCGAGAAGCACCGCTTTCCATGATGTTCACCGTGCTTGGCACGTTGAGCCAGCCACCTCCATAGTTGGCAGAAGATGCATGATGTGCCAGCTGAAGTCTTGCACCACGGCCTTTGGAAGTTTGGGGCGACCTGATCTTGCGACTCTTGTGACATTTGGCTTGCAGAAAGCAGTCTAGCATTGACCATGTGCATTATGTACAGTTGACTTTGCTCAGCATGAACATGCATGAGCCTGGTTGAATTTGGCAGGTTGGCAGAGCAAACGGATCATCGGCAAGCGAGTGTTTGTTCATGACTTGAACATTGTGATCAATGAGGAATAATGAGTGCGGACGTGTGTGGACAATGGCATTCGGAACCTCTTTAAACCACAGGTGGCATGTCACTACGTTTCACATGTTTTCGATGTACCTGTCATGTATTTCACTTCCCGCCAACCAAGCTGAAGTCTGCCAAATCTTTGCATGGGTTGATACAGAGGAATCCTTCACAATGTCCATGTTGCGTAGTTGGTTCAAGAACGGGAAACTTTAGACCAGGGACTTTGAGGGTTCCGATGGGATCAGATGGGTTCAGGGATCTCCAAGAATTGAGACACGTCATATGTCATGAGTCATGATGGGAGCTTAAGATGGCTCTTTCGCTCGCAGCCGAGATGCCTCAAGATGCATCATGATGAGACCCACAGATCAAAGCCCTTCGGGGCTAAGTCGCTCTTCCCGCTCTGGTGTGCTGGATTCCAGAAGATGGCACATGTTGAGCATATACATGACTTTGGGAGTCTTGGCACGTCTTGCTTGTTGTTTATCGTATGATTATATAATATATACGGTTTTTCCAATTATTTAATTTTGTTGTGTCTTTTCATGTTTTATGTTTTGCTGAACTTTGTTGCACAAGTCCCAACGCATTCTTTTGGCTTTAGCGAGGCAATGTAAGTGATGCATGGAGCAAGACAATGTCAGTCAGGTCTCCTGTTAAATTCAGGTATTTATTGTTGTTTATGTATCACAGGTTCGAAAATGTATTCAGGTTTGCCTGCACAGTTCTTTTTCGCAAGGTATTTTGAACCAGACCCTTTGGCTCAGTTTTGCTGCTACACCAGAAGCAACAGTCTGGAACCTAGACTGGCTCCAACATGTTCGATGCAAGTCTGGAATGGAAGCCTATCTAAGCCTGCTGGTGTTGCCCAGGCAAGCCGTTTCGGCATTGATGAGCGTTTTATTGCTTACCTGGCGGTTCTCTGCAACGCAGTCTATGTCCCTGGCAGCTGGCTGTGCACATGGCTATTGCGAAGTCATGGCCTGGCCAAGGTGCTTGGCGAAACCGAGTTTGGCAATGTGGTAGGTGAGTGGCCCCCTTTTATGCTCTCATGTAGCACAAGGACGCTACTAGGAACAAGTGCATCGCTACTAGTAACAAGTGCCTTACTGGTAGTAACAAGAAGCTATTAGAAACAAGGGTTTATTCTCATGTTTAAATTTAGGATCCCTGAGGTTTTTCTTAGAGAGGACAACGAGATAAGGGACCACAGCATCGCTGGCTGATGCAGAGAGCACCAAAATCTCTTTGTCCTCCTGTGACATGCATGGTCAAACTTGGTCAAAATCGAAGCAAATCATGAAGGCTCAGGCTTCCGAAGTCCGAGCCTTCAAGCCTAAGAAGCTGAGTAGTAGCTCTACCGCCTCTCCGCAAAACAAATCCTTGGTGTGCTTTTGCCGATGCTTCAATTGCAGGGCTGGTACTGTATGACCCCGGTCCAGTGACGAGATTCGTTGGGTGAAGGGGGATCTCCGTGCAGGGTTGGTCTTCTGTGGCTTTCCGTAAACTGTAGATTCTGCAAGCCTTTGTAAACGTGTCCAGTGAGACTTCTTGAGGCTTTGTTGAAGAACCCAAAGGCACAGAAACTTAGCATTAACTAGGTAGTTGAACATGTACCACAGGATTGATAACAGTGCAACCAGCACCATGCTCCATGAGCTCATTTGCTGAGGTCATGGGAGTAGCTTGTTGGTTGCAACTGGTTGGTGGCTTCTTACGCTGGCTCTCAGATCTGCTGCTTCGCCCCCTCTCAGGGCCCTTGGGATTTCTGGGTCTCTTCTGCGGCCAAGGTATCGCGGCGGTTGCTTCGCCTTTGAAGCTTCGCAGCGCCAGCATGTGTAGGATTAGATCTGAGCTTGAAGTATCTAACAGCATTGTATGGTTTTGCTATTTTCAGAGAGATCCACAGCATCACAACTTATTTGGAATCCAGAAGAGCTTGTCCACATCCGGACATTTACATTGCTTTTTGCTTGTACCAAGGATCATGAACACCCCAGCTGTTTTTGCAGATGCTTGGTTTGGAAAACGAGAACGCGAGGCCAGTTCCAGTGCGTTCTATGGCTTTCAGAGAAAGACAGTAGAGAGGGAGTGAGAGAGCACTTCTTATTCAGTTGTCATGGCGTGCTGGTTTGCTTCAGAGATTCCAACCGGCGTCAAGGTGTGTTACAACACATGATGGTGATGTCAAAATGTGCTTTGGGATGCTTTGGTGATGTCAAAATCACACCATATAGTGTTAAAGAAGGGTCTTGGGCAAAAGCTTTTGTCACTGCTGCTGGGAGCGCCAGGGTGTATTGGCTGCTGGTGCTTTGTCGCCCATTTTTGGACAGGGCTTGGGCTCTGCACTGGCAGGTTTCATTGTGACAGGTCCAGAGGCCGAAGGCACTAAAACACTGCTCGCAGGGCAGGCGGGAGATAGAATATCGATGAATATGCTCCAAGTAGCGTCCTTGCTCCTAGTAGCGAGGCCAGGAGCCCCTAGTAGCTTCTTGCTCCTAGTAGTACGGCCAGGAGCCCCTAGTAGCGTCCTTGTTCCTAGTAGCGAGGCCAGGAGCCCCTAATAGCGTCCTTGCTCCTAGTGAGAGCACGAAACGTTTGGCATTAAAGATATCACTGGAACTGTTTCACAACTCATGTTCAAAGGTGTTTAAACCGACTTCTGTTTGCTTGCAATTCAGAATGTATCATTTGGTTTTGTTCCTCCACAGGCAATCTTTAGCCTTGTACTTGCCATATGGACCCTGAACCAATTCATGGATTCTCCCCGTGCTGGTGTTGCACTGAGTGCAGCTGGCAGCTCCCTCCGCGAGACTTTGCAGCTTCTGTGTCTCTTGGCCTCGGCTCAAAGCAGGTGAATAAGACCCACCGATTTGAAGTGACGGTTTTGGGCAAGAGCTTAAGAGCTATTTTTAAGAAAGACTTATAACTTGAACATACTTGAACAGGTTAGCTATTTAGCTTAGAATTGCAAAGTTTGCAATATCCCTGTAGCTTAGAGGTTTCCACCAGCAATGCCTCCATCTTGCCAATGAAAGAGTTTTGAATTTGTTTAAAACTATTTTAGCATAAATCTAGTTGTGTTCTATTTCGGAGGCAAACTGAAGGGTAGTGCACAGAAAGGGTTTTGCAAAACCTATTCTACTATATACAGTACTTGTAACTTCGCACCAGGCTACGGTATTTTTGACTCACAAACTTCGTATAAACAATTTTTGCTGATCCCCTTTTGCACACACCCTCCCCTTTGCCTTCACTATTGATCTTCTCGACAGCAGCGGAAGGAGACGTTACTCAGGTCGCCCCCACTTCTTTTTGCTTTTGGTAATCTTCATTTGCGGCATGGCCTTGGCTGCGTCAACCTTGACACTCTTTGGTGATATTGCCAGCGGCTGCGGCTACACTTCTACTGAAGCTGGTCTTGCGAGTGGGCTGTTCATGATAGGAGTGTGGTTGAATGGAGGGTGTCATCAGAGTGTGTTTGCCTCCCAAGTATCAGATTGCATCATATTCGTGAATGTAAAGGATGACCTCCAAATGATATGCAAGGAGACAAACACAGCAACCGGCTCATGAGCCATGCCAGCGTTAAGTCAGCATATTGTTAGTTACACGTATTGGACTACGTTGACAGTGCTTTCTTCACTTTGTGCGGCAGGAGGAGTGCTTGGCTCTCTTGGAACTGGATATGTCTTGGGAGTAACACGAGCTTATCGGACCATCCTGCGCTGTGCTATTCTGTCGGCAGTGTCATTTGGATGCCTTTTTCTTCTCATGCTCCGTCCTAACAATCTTGTTGGTCTCTTGATTACAGTGACCTTCTTTGGCACCTTCATGATGAGTTCGCTGCCTGCATTGCTCTCAAATGCGGTAGAAGAGACTTACCCGACACCCCCAGAGATCTCGACCACTCTACTCTTTAATTCAGCCATTCTTATGCAGGTGTTCTTTACCCCGCTGGTGCAATTCATCTTAAACCAGGATGACGACTGTGCGTCTTGGGGATCCAAGTACAGTTCTTTCAATATTTATTGTGGGCTCTTTGGCTGTTTACTGCCTGCCATTCTTTACTGTGGCAAGAGCAATCGGATGTTGGCCGAGAACGAAGAGGAAGCTTCTTTCACCGGAGGCTAGTGAAAAGACTTGACTCAGTTGGAAACAACTTGCTGATGTTCGCTTCATTCTTGATTGCATAAAACTTGCGGAGCCAACCATCGGCTTCAGCCATTTGGCCCAGTATACATTGACACTACCCAGGATGCACCTTTTCAATCTAAGCAACATCTATGAATACACTGATCCAGTTTGACACTTCTTGATTCGGGTCAACACATTTCAAAATATGTTCCAACAATACAATAGATCAATGCATGTTCCAAAAAGCAAGCTTTGGGCGGCGCTGCTGCTCTCGAACACCAGTCGCAAGTTCGACGCTTGAATCAATCCCCGAGAGTGGACGTGTGGCAGAAGAACATCTCACCCTGCAGCCTCACTCGCATCATATGCAAATCAAGACAAACCCCAGCACATAGTACAGAGCAAAACTCTTGCTTGCCGCCATGACGATTCCACCTGTCCGACAGACTGGGGAAATCATGCAGGACCAGACGGGAGTCATAAAGCTATATAAATACATCTCAATGATTCTCAATGTGTTTAGTCTAGACTATGATGTTGCTACTGATCCAATTCGGTGGGTTCAAGTTGCGCCAGTTTAGTTGCACAGACTGCCTGTGCTGCAACTCCGTTGTTTGCTGGACTCTGGGGGGATGTCCTCTCATCTCGCTGCACAGACTACGGAGATGCCTACGACGTCAGTTTCAGGCCTTTCGAGGATCAGCTGAGCGGCACTGATGGGAATTGGTTGCCTTTCCATCAACATACCAAGCCTTGTTAAGCTTTACCCCAGATTCGGGCTGCTTTTTGTGGCCTGAGGCCTTCGGGTATTTCGTAACTGATCTCTTCCATCCACAACTATCAAGATGCCCCAGCCTTGCAAGACATGGCTTTCAAGGTCCCTCCTGCAATCAGGCTGGTGGCAGCAGGAACCAGTCTGGATAGATGACAGGTGCCGCTGGGTGTCACCATTTTAGCAGATTGAATGATAGTGGTTGCGATGAAAAGCAAAACTTTGGATGAAGGTGATAACTGTCTGCAAGATCAACTCTAGAACCCCGCTGGTATTGTCCAGACTTAATGTATTGGGGTATGAGGACCGACATGCATTCCTTTCTTCAAAGCAAGAGCTTCGCTCATAGCCTGTCCCACAGCCAGGTATCTGTTGGGGATGGAATGGGTCAGCTTCCTAGCATGGGTCAAACTGTGATACCCTGACATCATTGCAAGGCCGCAGCCTTCAATAGCAGAAGCCGATAGGCACAGGATCGTCATAGACCCATAAAGCCCTCACAGATCAGCGTACTTCGGAAGCTGGCTTCAGCCTAGCCAGTCTATGGGACTCCGCAAAGTATGCACATGCAGAGACCTCGGATAGCTTCAACCCGGAGGTCTTCTATTCTGCATGAGTCATATAGCGTATTGTAGTGAACCTCAAGAAAGAGCAGACTATTATGATAAGCCTTGCAGTCGAACGTGCGAAAGTGCACGGCCATGCTGCAATCGCTCTTGACTGCAAACCACACTTGTCAATACCAAGGTGTGTCTTTTGCTGTATGCTATTGTTGGAGTTCTTGGTTTTCTTTTGTACCGCGCTAAGCTTGGGTCCTTGTCAATCAATGCACATTCTGAAATCTAGCAGAATTGGTAGAGTCTTTCCTGAAAGATCCAACAATTCTGTGCTGTAGATCTAACCGACAGGTGGTTTGTTGCACCGTTTGCTCGCTGAGGCTACTAAGAACTCCAAGGCAGGAAGTGAGCCCGAAATCGTGCCAAGCTGTTCCTTTGTCCATGTTGGATAGCTTGCTCATGAATATCAGAATCATGCTTTGGACTTCAAGAATGCTAAACAGAAAGATGTAGTGTGGTGGAGTTTCAGGTCGAAAAAGATATTTGCTCCTTAGGTCATGCATATCATAATACAACTATCCATGATGCTTTGATATGCTTTGAACACATTTACAGTTTTGGTTCTCTGAAATGACTTTGTCCTTTCTTCGCAGGCCTGCAGTTCCGGTTACTCCAGTTACTTCGAAGAAGGTTGACAAGGACAAAAACCGCGCGAGTGACAAAGAGAAGGAACAGGATGTGCTCGGTGTGTCATGCCCGACATGCTTTACTGAGCTTGCCTTGTGAGGACAGGAAGAACATGTACAGTAACATTTTTGCGTTGCACGCCATACAACAGTCATGAAGATTGTTTTGGAACCTTTTTGATTTTGTGCCTCATATCTACATGCCAGGCGTATGCGGCGTCTACTGGCTATGGGCATGTTCGGTGCCAGCATTGTTAGATGCAAGAAGCCCCAGAGAATCATGAGAGATTTGATGCCGCCGATGTCGATTCTGCACTTTCCGCCAAGGTTGCAGTTTGTTGATGGAGATTGAAAACAAGGCAACATTTGGGCAACAGTCGGCAACAGTTCTGTTCAAACGGTTGCAGAATTAGAAGGGTCAGAGTCAAAGGGGGTAGCTGACAAGTGCACTGGACAGGAGGGCAATTTGAGTTCCCTACAACAGCTTGGATCTCGACAGGTCCAGCATTCACCTCAGCAACAAGCGACAACAGCATAAGAACTGGCCAGATAGCCTTTTGGTGCCTTTCTAGATATTTGGCTACAGTATATAACTTGGCCTCTTGATCTAGGTGCTGGTCAGCTTCGTACTACTGCTTGAGATATTTCAGACTTGAAATTGCTTAGGTGGCTTTGGGATTTGATATCTCTTCTTCCAGCCGTAGTCTTCATGTCAGCTGGAGACTTACAGGGCCACCGCCTTTGTCAAATGTAACGAACAACAGCATTGAAGACCAGCAAACGTGGAGGAAAATGATTTTGTTAGTCGAGCAAGCACTGTGTAACGCAGCGTCCAAAATCGATCCAGCCACAGACCATGGGTCATGAGAATAAGCCGAGGGTCATGAGTCCGGTAAAGACACTGCACCACACCAGCCAAGGCTTTTTCGGTCGTTGTTGCTTTCTGGGCTCAGGCAGCGGAAGCAAGGTTGCTTGAAGACTGTACGCTGTATGGGTTTTGGTTTGTAGCGTTTGTGTTACACATCAATGAGTTACTGTAGTGCATCCTGCGTGGATCTTTCACGTATGTCACCCAGCTGACATGTTGTTGACTTGCACATTGCCTATGAACACTGTACCGCTTGGGCTGCACAGATCCTTCAAGCTTTCAGGTCCGAAATTAAGACAGTGATCTGCGACGGGTATTGGAGGGTGAATTCCTAGTGAATTTCGATCCAATTCAGAATGCGTTTTCTCCAATCGGTCATAGAGTGTAATCTCATCAAGCACAAGAAACCTTTTGGTGGACACGTATTTGTGTGGATTTGTCTATTAATTGTGCTGTTTTTATGTTCCATCAATGGATAGCTAAGTGCTACGGAACGAACCTCCGGAACTGCCACCATGCCAGTTGCACTACATTATCAGCGTGGTCTCCCTGCCGCTGCTGGACTGTTTTGTGGTAGCAGCCTTGTTCAGCTGAATGGAAAACCTGACGTCATTATTCACCACCATCATCATCATCATCATCATCATCATCATCATTTGTTGGCAACCTGCATACCATCATGCTGCCACACCAAAACAGCACTGGCATTGGCAGCGTTGCTGTGATGTTGCACATGGTTTTGTGTGCACTTCAGCACAGCTGAATGACAAGGTGTGGCTGAATGTCGCCTGTTATTTCTTGGCCTTGCTCCCAGATTTCCAAAGAATCCACAGAGTCTGTTTGACGAGCATCGGTGAGGAAGACACTGCAAAGAACCTACTAGTAGGGCTTTCGTGGAACTGTGAGCGCGCGCACTCCACAAGATGTGAAATGTAATGCATATATATATATATGCATATTATATGTATATATACTTTGTTTTTGCAACTTGATTAAGACAGTGATTTTCCACAGATCCAACGCTTTTGGATTCCCATTTGCAGCTCTTCCGTTCTAGGTGGTTGTAGTTGTTGTGGGCACATACCTGCTTTGCGCGTGGGGAGCCAAGCCAGATGGGCTGTTCTGATCAAGACATAAGGACAAGACGATTCAGTCAATCTATATCAATCCTCAGTCTTTGGGGAGTGAACCGGGAGATTACACACGCTTAGTCCCTGCCCTACATTCTGACTATCTAGGCCCTGGTGCAACGCCCTTGTCAAGGTACGAGCACCTGCGTGCCTATCTTTCCTGTCTCATTGGCTTCTTGTACGTGAAGAGCTTAATCATGCCAACAAGCGCCGTAGCAACTTGTGGAGAAATAGCGTGACAGTGACAGCTGAGAGTTGCTCCTTGACACAGTTTGACAAACAGTCTAGTCAGTCTTGATACTTGAACCCCACAGGCCTGTGACGCTGACTATGTTTTCTTGTCGGTTACTTGCAAGAACACATTGCTTTGAAAAGAACCGACCTGGTGAAGGCTACATTGTCCTGGTCTTTGCTTTACTATGGAATTATGGCCGGCGTCTTACTGAAGGGCTGAACTGGCACTGCACATGTTCATTGTCGCTGAAGGTCCTCCGTCCTTGCAAACAATTGGCGTGCTATGTCCTACAGATTCCTAGAGTGTTCGGTCACAAATCTCACCCACCCATGTTAAGAACTGCAGTTGCATGACTCAATCCAGTTCTCACCTTGGTTGGTGTCTAAGTTGCTTGGCCTCATGGACTTCTAATTCGTACATAGACTCATCCTGCTATTTTTGCATGGCCAATTTGAGTCAGAGACGCAACCTTTGCACTCTGGCACATGCTGCTACCTTGATTATAGGCCAAAGGAGTTAAATCCAGGGGTTCCACATCGCCTTTTTCTGATTTGATGCTGGGTGCCTGCCAAGATCATGAACCAGTTGGGCGATGCTTTGAGGAAGGGCCATCCAGCGTGCCACTGGCTGTTCATTGATTTGTGTAAATGCAAGAGCTTTATTTACTTCTTGGTGGCATTGTACCGATGGGCTGCTTCTGACTATTGTCATCCTTCTGACAATTCTTATTTGGGGCAACTATGGGCAACTGCCCCTTGCAATCAATGTCAGAGAGATTCATCGAGTTAACGCCAGGCAGTTGCCTATGCTGCGAGTGGGGCTCGTATCCGTGGCTTGACTGTTAGAAAGGTCCTGTGTTTCTCTCAAAACGGTTACATCGCCAAGGTTTTCTGCCCATTGATGCTTGTGATTCGAGCTATTTGTATGCTCTGCACGATGCTTAGAGTGCCAATGTCGGTGGGCAGAGGCACAATGCTCTTCCTTCAATGACCTCTCACAGGTGTGATCAGGGTCAATATCAAAACAGATTCGACACGACTTTGCCAGTAATTAGCAGCTTGCACATTTGGTAAGCTGCCTTGAGGTTGGGGGTGTTCGATGGCTCCGCCGTGAATTTGGCCTGTTGCTAAAGAGAAAAGATGGGATGACAGGATAGCGGATAGCCCGCCGTGATCGTCGTGTTGAAATGTAAACGTTGCGTGCACAACATGGAGAAGAGGATCATTGTTGAGAGATGTTGCAGCAGAAACCGAACAAACAAGGCAGAATTTCTCACATCCTTACCGAAAATTCCATACCTGAAACAGACGTTGCAAATCCTCAGACTGCTCAGACTTTGCAAATTGCGAAGGCTTATTTACATTACTTGAGTAGACTACGCCTGCCAGATCTACGAGCGTAGACTTGATTCTTTGCCTGTGCAGCGAGTGGCTGCCGGCAGGTGACTTTGGGTATGTCAATGAAACTTCTCTTGCTTTGCGATTAGGAATAAATAACATAATTATGTTTTGATATGTGTTGCTTTTCTACGTAAACCATTGCATTCATGTATAAACCAATCCAATCAAATCCACAGTGTTTTGTATTCATGGATGAGAATCAACATTGCAAAGAGCACTGGCAGCACAGAGCTGGAATTTTCATTCGAACGCAGTGTACGGTTTCGGTTGACAGTAAGTTCCCAGTTGATGGCAAGTACGCGAAGTTTGTCGTGCCGTTTGGCGTTTTGCAGTTGTCATCGAATTGGCGCTCATCCCAGCGTATGGCCTGACTTGTTTAACCTTGGCTACTGCCCGAGGATGTTCAGAAGATTTACTGTAGAGGCTTCTCGCTCGGCTGTGTCAACGCATGAATGTGCCAGGCATAGCTTTGTGATGGCCGAGGATGTTTCAGATTTGCTTGCGTTACGGCTGTGGGTAGGTAAGGCTAAGGTTTGAACAATCTGAAAATTCATGCTAAGTGCAGCATCACAACTAAGTTTGCCTTTGCTGATTGACGAAGATCATTGACATGCCAAGGAACCCACTGTTTTTTAACATTGGCTCGGATGTAGCTACAATGTAGCTGCTTCGGTTTCCAGGATCTTGCTCTCCTAGACTCTTCAGAATCTGAGGGGTCGGTGGGCAACCCAAGATCAACAGCAGCTACTTCCAAACTGAAGGGTTTCAATGGATCACGATGACAGGCTGCAGTGCTAATTTAGTAACTTGTGAGGTCCTGAGAGCCATCATATGGATCTTGGATATTCGCACAAAACTAATATCAAAGCAAGCCTCTGAGAAAGTATTTTTTGGCTTTTGTTTACCGAGTTTGTTTAGACGAGTGCTGAAGACAAATTAGTTCCAGCAAGACCATGTCCCTGCTAATGTAAGTAAGTCTACCTAGCAACCAGCGCAAGCCTTGCACTTCTAGATTCGACCCTCAAGCATAGCTGCTCCTATTTGCACATGCTTCGGTTTACAGATTCGCTCCCAATACTTCACAAGCCTCATATTTATTGCATATTGTTGCATTTGGGAGCCTTATTCTGCGCAGTGTATCCAAGGCAGCAGGTCTTGCTGAACCTTTGCTTGAGAGCAGGAGCGGGGGGAGCGGGGGGCAAAAATCATAATGTAACGAAAATATGTTACTGAAAAATATGTTGCACATATGAATTCGATGATATTCGATGCAAATTTGGCTCTACACAATGTTTTCAAGGGTTGATTGACTTGAACCATCCTCCAAAGCATCTTGTCAAACACACGATGAGTATTAAAGAGACACTTGAGAAAGCCATGCTTTGCTCAGGGATGCTCACGGAGACTGGTGCGCCCTTCCACACTTCCGACCTATTCGGTTTGGTAATCGCATTGAGCCTTGTAATTTCCGGATTCCTTTTCGCTGCTTTCCACTTATCCGTTGATGTGCTCAGAGCTTTCCAGTTGTTGCACATGCGATGATTATATAAACTGACTTGGATGACAGCTGCAACATTGCTGCTCAAAGGCAGCATTTGGTCCACTTCATGATGCTCTAAGGCATTTCCCAACTGCATCTCCTTCATGCATAAGGTTTGTTTGATTCAAATCAGCCAGGCCGATTTGCCTTTTTTTCCCAGAGTTGCTCAATGAGTCTCAATGAGAGAGTGGTACCACTGCGGCGGTTGCAGATGCAAAACCTGTACCACTTAAGATGGCTTAGATCATCAATGCTGGCGAGTCAGATGCGTGCCTTGGCCAATGTAGTCAGCCCTTTCTCGCTTTGTTTCATCAGATTTGTCAGTGAAGAAAGTCTAAGACAGCTTCATTTTCCCTGAATCTATTCCTCTTGTGAAGCCGTGCTTGTGGGAGTACTGTGGATCAGGCCATCTCTCTACTTTGCCGGCACCAGCCCTGGCAGGTGACTGGGAAAGCCTTGAAGAGGGAAAGCCTTGAAAGCTGCTCTTTGGTTTGGAGTTTCTTCTCTCGAGATGTCAGTCCCCGATGTTCGGCGTTCAGCATTTGGGCCTCTGGGAGTTTCACGGACGTCACGTCTTCTGCTCGAAGACGTTTTCCAGGTCTTCGAGTTTTGGAGCTTGCAAGTGTGTGGGCACTCAAGTGAGTTCATGGACAATGATACTTTAAGCGAGATTAAGTAGGACATGGTGAGTATCATAAAGTACTGGTGAGTATCCTAGTCATCCTAGTGCCAAAGTATTCGCAGCTGCTCGAGATGTGGCTCGTTTATTCACTTGCGTATCAACTTTGCAATGTGTGCCCAAGACCTGTTTGGCAGAAAGCAGTCAGCTCGGCAGGTTTTGGCTGGTCCCTCAGTTGGTCAGTTCTTCGCCGAGCTGGGTGCTGATGTCATCAAGGCACAGCGCGCCAGGGAATAATGATAGATCCGCCAGAACTCAATCGTTTGGAGCAGAACTCAATGGGTTAAAGCCGTGGCGAAGGGGTGGTTTCAGATGCTTTTGGGAGGCTGGAAAGCTTTTGGCAGGCTGTTGGTGGAAGCTTTTTGGGAGGCTGGTTAGTGGTGGAAAATGCTAGCAAATTGTTTTTTTCTAGGGATCTTTGACACCGAACGTCCGAGGAATTGGGGCTCGTTTGGAGCAGAACTCAATGGGTTAAAGCCGTGGCGAAGGGGTGGTTTCAGATGCTT